CTTCCCACTGCAGCCCTTCCCCCACCCCTACCCCCAGCAGCTGGGACCACAGGTGCATGCCAGCATGCCCACCTAATTTTTTTGTATTTTTGGTAGAGATGGGGTTTCATCATGTTGCCCAGTCTGGTCTAGAACTCCTGAGCTCAAGTGATCCACCTGCCTTGGCCTCCCAAAGTGCTGGGGTTAAAGATGTGAGCCACTGCACCCAGCCTCAACCATTTTTTACTACAAAAAGGGAGATTTCATGCTCGTCTCCTCAGTAGCTGGGACTATAGCATGTGCCGACATGCCTGGCTAAATGTTTAAAAAATATTTTTTAGAGACAGAGTCTCACTTGTTGCCCAGGCTGGTCTCAAGCTCCTCAGTTTCCTGAGTAGCTGGGATTACAGGTATGAACCACTGTTCATGGCTGTCATGGCGTTTTTTCTTTTTAATTTTCAATTAAAATATATATACCAAATGAAAAGTGCACAAACGTAAACATACAGATTGATGAATTTTCACAAAGGGAATGCACTCACATAACTACCACCCAAATCAGGAAGTTGAATACTGCCAAATTTCCAGTATCCCCCCTCCCAATCCCTACCTGCTTTCCCCTCCAAATCACTCTCATACTTATAATGGCAATCGATGACTCGCCTGTTTCTGAATTCTATATAAGGAGAATCATATAGCGTATTCCTTTTGTATCTGGCCTCTTTTGCTTAGCAGGATATTTGCAAGATTTATCCACATGGGTATGAATAGTAATAGTTTATTGATTTATATTCTTATATAGTATGAATATAATCACGGTTTATCCCTTCTATTCATGGGACCGTTTTGGTTGTTTTACAGTTTTAAAAAATTATTTATATTTTAAATTTCATTTTCAACTTTGTATACTGTTAAATTACCAAACAATAAACTACTTAAGAACATAACCTAAATATTTTGGTTAACTACATTCTGGAGCGGAAAGGCATTAGTGTTAGTCTTAGGTGGCAATGAGCTTCACAGAGACACACAGAGAAAGCAAAGTGAAGAACAAGGCAGTCTCTCCCTATTTATGGCATGGCAAAGCAATTCAGAATGCATTCGCTATTTCTATAGATAAATTTTCTAAAGTATAATGTGGGAAAATTTAATATTCCAATTTGTGAAAACAAGAATTATCAGACTGTCACATTTCAATGACTTAAGTAGCCAAACCATACATCAAGCTTGTCTAACCCATGGCTGGTGGCCACGCCATATGGCCCAGGATGGCTTTGCATGTGGCCCAACACAAAGTTGTAACTTTCTTAAAACATTATGAAGGGCCGGGCGCGGTGGCCTACGCCTGTAATCCCTACACTCGTT